ATATTCAATGGACCATGAAAATTAGTCGTGGTGCGCGTAAACTGGCCCGGACACCCCATGTAAATAAAAAAAAATGACTATTTATTTTTTATATTTTTCTTTGGTTATTTTTTTAGATTGTTTTGATATATTAATGTAAAAAATAATTTTTAAAAATAAAAAATAAATTATTTTAACATATTTATAAAAAAAATATTTTACAAAATAATCACTATCATATTCCTAACACCCCCATGAAAATCTTATTACCCAACAGGACAATTCTACAGGGCATGTCTTTGAATGGAATCTCTGTTGATTTTCGAACCCCTTTCCTCTTTCTTTTCTTTGGGCGCCGTAAGTTTGAACAGAAACAACTATTTTCTGTATAAAACAATGTTCTCGATCGATCGACCGATACATGCATGCAATTAGGGGAAACTTTTCCACTGTTCGATCGATTTCTATTCCAAGTCCAATTCACTGGTTTGGTTACGTTGGAAAATTCGGAGAGAAATTATGATTTTTTATGTCGAAATTAGTGCGGTGGTCAATTGTTGGCCAACGTTTTCCCAATCTTGGTAATGATTTGAAGGTGTGAGCTTGAAGGTTTTTTATCGTCTGGAAAACTCTAGATATTTTGGGTAATTGCCAGGATGTATACGTGGCAAGCCAGCCATGAGCTAGGTAGCCATCGCCTTTTTGTCTTTACTTAACCTAACGGGCAAGATGAGGCCACAGGATAACGAAATTAATTTGAGCTATATTAGTAATTATCTTATTTATAATGCAGAATTATTAAGATACGGATAAATAAGTAATATGATTGAACTTCTCTATTATATTTATTTTTTTATTTGACTTTTTTTTTAATTTTACTTATTTTTTTCAGTTTGGATTCAATTTAAATTTTTTAATTTTAAATTTATAAAACTAGAATCAAACTTACCGTTTTTTTTAAGTTTTAATTAGTTCTTTTTCTGATTTAATCAGCTTTTTAATTTTTTATTTACCCTGAACTAGGAGCCATCACCTTTTTATCTTTACTTAACCTCACGGGCAAGATGAGGTTAAAGTATAACGAAGTTAGTTTTAGCTATATTAGTAATTGTTTTATTTATAATGCAGAATTATTTTATGGATAAATAAGAAGTATGAATGAACTTCTCTATTATATTTATTTCTGTTTTTTTATCTTATTTATAACACAATCATTTTATTTTCTTGTAAATAATCATTTAACATTTCAGAAGTTGTTTTTTAAATAACCATTTTTTGATTAATATACTCCATGAAGAAGAAATTAATAGAACATCACTGGATGTTGAAGATTCGTGTGCAATAGAAAGAAGGGAAAGTTTGGGTTAACTAATAAGTCAAGAAATATGAACAGGCCGAGTAATATCGATCCACCTAATGTCATGCAAATTGATTTTCTTTTCTTTCTTTTATTTTTTTTAGATACGTGTTTGCTTTCATTTTATTGCTATACGTTGTCAATGATGGAGTTTCAAAGCCACACACAACCAAAAAAAAAAAATCCTTGCTTTGAGAATTATTAAATCTTTTACT